GGGGGAGCCTATGAATCACTACTAGGGTTCCTAGAATCACTCTAGGGCATGAGAATCATCATACCCAAATAAACTTTCATTGATTCTTCAGTAAAATGTCCATACAATATTTGTAGGAACTCAAATAGACTGTAGATGACTCAAAAACATAGAAGCTTACTAAATTACCACTGTGGCACTATCCTAGTCAATTCAAAGAAGACAAAATAACTCTTAAACTAATTAATGACTCTAAAATTACAAATATGAGTAGACAAACCAGACCCAATCATTAGACTCCACATGGAATTTTTAAATGACAAAAATACCCCTACTATCCAAAAAATACAGAAAGACATAATATTCAGAAAAATTCTTTTTTTTTTTTTTGAGAGAGAGAGAGAGAAAGATGAATAAGAAAGCAGAAATGTACATGAGAGCATGCACACTGGAAAAGAACAAAAAAAATGCCCATGCAGAAATCAGGGCAGTAAAGTATTGCTATACAAATCTTCCTTATGAGTCCCAACCACCCAGGGTCTTGGGAGGGATAGACTGTGTAAGGTCCTAACCTTTGGGATTTGTTTCACACAAATGGCATCCCTCAGATTTGAGCCCCCGTTCTCACACTTGTCAGCCCGAGAACTAAAATGCCCTTGTTGTATTTATACAAGTAAAATGCTGATTTCTTATGTAATACCCTTCTAGAGCTTTAAAACTTGCAGCATTTCAGGTTACTGGTTTTGTCACTAATTTTCCTTCCACTAATTAGAATAAGGTCTTAATTGGACTGAGATTAACAACATGCTTGCTCTTTAAATATTAAAAATATATATTACTTTGGAAATCTGCACTCCTCTTCTCAGTACTTATGGCAATGTTTATTTGGGCTTCATGGCCACTTAATTGGTTATCCATTGCAATGTCATCTTGTAGGCTTCATCAGATATGAGAGTTTTGGATTTTGACATAGCTTTCTCCATTGCCTTAACACTTTCGTGTGGAATTGACACTCTATCCATCATATGCATCATGGCCTCCATCACATGGCCAGTTCTATTTGTAGCAATTCCAGCCATGTTATCCACACACTACATTCAGGTAGATCTTATTTTCTTTATCTCTACTTCTTAATCTCTGTTTTACTTTCCCTAATCAGTAATCATTTATTCTTCCATTTTTTTTTCATTTTTCTTTCTTTTTGAATGAAGAGATACTACCTAGCCTCTGCAAGAGAGCTAATAAGAATTAATGGAACAACCAAAGCACCTGTTATGAATTATGCAGCTGAGACATCACTTGGTGTAGTCACAATAAGAGCTTTCGACATGAAAGATAGGTTCTTCCAAAAATACTTAAAGCTCATTGACACAGATGCAAGTCTCTTTTTTCATTGTAATGCTGCTTTGGAGTGGTTAGTGATAAGAGTGGAAGGACTCCAAATTCTGACCTTTATCACCTGTGCCCTTCTCCTTGTTTTTCTCCCTCAAGGAAATGCTTCTCCAGGTATTTTTCATTCCTGAGGGCTGCCTAGTAATAATCTATCTAGAATGTTCAATTCTGAATGAAACATTTCTGTGTTGTTTTCAGGATTTGTGGGCCTTTCTCTTTCTTATGCTCTCATACTTACTACCACGCAAGTCGTATTCACTAGATGGTACTGCAACTTAGCCAACTATATTGTTTCTGTTGAAAGAATAAAACAATTCATGTATATACCACCAGAACCTCCGGCAATTGTGGAGGATAAAAGACCACCTCTCTCATGGCCATCCAGGGGAAGGATAGATTTGCAGGATCTAAAGGTAATGGCAGTTAATCTGATTCATCTTTCAACGTATATTTTGTAAATATTATTCATAAAGATTTACCAACCTGTGTTTGGAAAACATGGGTACCAAGAAACCTTGATGGTGTCTGAGTATCTGCTGGTTTCAGATAAGATATCGTCCAAATGCACCACTTGTTCTCAAGGGAATTACTTGCACTTTCAAAGAAGGGACTAGAGTTGGAGTTGTTGGAAGAACTGGAAGTGGCAAGAGTACACTGATTACTGCTTTGTTCCGTTTAGTTGAACCAGAAAGCGGGAGAATTCTTATAGATGGACTAGACATTTGTTCCATTGGTCTGAGGGACCTGAGAATGAAACTCAGCATCATCCCTCAAGAGCCAACTCTTTTCAGGGGTAGCATTCGGACCAACTTGGATCCTCTAGGCCTCTACACTGACAATGAAATATGGGAGGTGAACCAACTGATTCTGATCTCAAAGCATCTGTTCTTCTGCAGATTTTTATTATTATAATTTTTTTTTATCTTATATTAGTCAAGTTCAAATGGATCAAGCGAGTAGTGACAATTGAGTTGAGGTTAAAAGCTTAAAATGCTTTAGTAATATACACAGAACCTTATGTGGTATTATTTATTGCAGGCTATAGAGAAGTGCCAACTAAAAGCCACCATATCTAGTCTTCCAAAACTTTTGGATTCATCTGGTGAGTTGCGATTTCAGTGGTTAGAAATCAGAAATCCAATCATTTTAATTAATTCCGCAGTGCTTCAGTTAAAGAACTCATGGTATTTGATCCCTTAATTCTGCAGTGAGTGACGAAGGTGAAAATTGGAGTGCTGGGCAGCGCCAACTTTTCTGCCTTGGACGAGTCCTTCTTAGGAGAAATAGAATCCTTGTTCTAGATGAAGCAACTGCATCCATCGACTCTGCAACTGATGCCATCCTACAGAGAGTAATCAGGCAAGAATTCTCCGGCTGTACAGTGATAACCGTAGCCCACAGAGTTCCCACAGTTACAGATAGTGACATGGTCATGGTCCTCTCTTATGGTACGCTGCTCCCTTGTACACATTTAGACCATCTCATAATTCATAGTCCCTTACAGTTTTGTTGGACTCGGACTGGACTGATCTGTTTGGACCATCAGAAGTGACCGGTTATGAACTTGATTTTACACATTTAGGAGCCCATAGTCCAACATTGGCCTGTTATGAGGTTGATTTTGCTCATCTTATCCATGTGCCATGGCTAATTGACTATGTGAAATAAGGTTTTATATAGACGTATTGGATCTTGGATCCTAGTCAATTTTATGCATGTCTATGGCTTACGTTTTGGTGATTTTGCAGGGAAACTCGTGGAGTATGATGAACCTTCAGTTCTCATGCAAGTTAACTCCTCCTTCTCTAAGCTTGTGGCTGAATACTGGTCCAGCTGCAGGAAGAATTCTATGCAGAGCCTCTAATTACTAATAAAATAAGAAGCTAGAGCTCCGGAGAGAGGCTCTATAACTATAATGCCTTCGGCATTTAAACCCATCAATACAGTGGCATTGGAATTGGAATTGAGTAGTATATATCGTTTATCCACTTTCTCTTAAAATTGAACATCATGTTCATCCAAAACTCCAAACTTGTATAAACAGATTCAGTATTAAATGTTAAGATCCACAAAGCGAATTTTAGTCCTTCAAGCTTTAATGATAAATTATTGAATTTAAAAGATTTCTAAATGAGGAGTTCAGAGTTTGATTGAGGTGATGATTAGTGAATTAGTCTTTGTTTTCTTTTTTAAATTACTGGTGTAAATGTATGGGAGTGCAAAGATGTCTAAATGCAAGCTTCTCTCTAAATTCTGCTCTAGTTTTGCTTCATCTTATTTATTTGTGAGAAGCAAAATACTAGGTAAAATGAAATGACCCCCACTTTAAGGCTGTGTTTGGTTTGAAAGAGAAGGCATGGAAAGGAAGGGAAACCTATATCCCTACCTTTTCTTTCAAACCAAATACAGCCTAACTGCAGGAGGATAGAGGTAGGGCGGTTAACTGTATAGAAGGTAACAAGCAATATTATATAGTCTCTATTTTTTATAAGAATTGAGGTAGGAGAAAGGTAATGCAAATTTTGCATCAGTTTTTAGAATAAAAAACTTGTACTGTCAGTGAGAGCAAAAGAGACAAAAAAGTAAAAAAAAAAATTGTATTAGGCAGGAATGAAAATCTTAATTAGAAACAAACAAAAGAAAATTTGATCTGGATACAAATTTTGCACCTGGTCAAGATTTGTATCCAGATCAATAAATAATAACATCTATGCCTCCCCCATGAAGTGGAGAGATGAGACAATGAGGCATGCTTAATTAAAATTTTGTTGAGCGTCAGGGAGGGGGTCATGTGAATTAATTTGTACGGATCAACAAGACATTGGATTGGACCAATGCGGTCCAAAACATTGATTAGATTGGATTGGACCTGATCCATCCGTATTAAATTTCTATTGGATAAAGCCAATATCCGGTCCATTGATATAAGATAAGAATATTGATGTCAATGGAACGAATTTTGGATGAAACCAATTTAAATTAAACTAAATTTGAATAGATTGGACAGTTCAGACATTGAATTGGACTGGTTCAAAATAGTCCAAAATATTTATTAGATTGGATTAGACCTGGCCCATTTGTAATGGATTCACATTGGACTGGATCAGATTAGACCAAATCCAGTCCAATTGACACCCCTACATGTATAATCCATCCCCCATACCCATCTGGGTGAAGGTGGGAATCGATCCCAAGTTTCCGCTACAACCAGCTAAAGACGTAATTAGTTGCCACCTTCGTTTATGAACCAGGTTAAGGAGTACTTTTTTTTTTGTCCCCCACCCTACTTCAACCAAAGTCTTAAATGCTTGAAATTGAATGCTAGAAAATGAATTTTAAGGAAAGTGGGATCGTTCCCTGCAGATTGTGAGTGAATCACCTGTGGTCCAATATATTCAAAGGATGGCCATGTTGCAGATCAGAACCATTGCCTTGAAAGCTGATACTTCAAATTAAGCTTCACCCTTCTAATTTTCAAGAAAATTCATTCATGTAAACCACCACTCATCTAACAATCTTTATCAGCTACAATAGGTGGCATATTTAGGGTTGTTCTACAATATCAATGTTTTTGTTTTCATTTATTTTGGGAATTTTCCACATCAACAGAAAAAATAAACAAACAAACAAAAACATGCATGTTCTTGCTTTTTTTTTTGTTTTAAAAGGCAAAAACAAGTTGGTTTCATTTCAAAAAACAATAATTAATAAGTGTTTTTAAAACCATCAAAACAATGTTTTCTGAAAAAAAAAACAAATGTTGTGATGTGGAAATTTTATAGTTTATGGAATATAATATTAAAAAACCAAATAAAAACATGTTCTTTAAACTAGAAATTCAAAAACATGTTTTTAATTAGTTTTGATTTTGAGAACAAAAAACACATATTTAACCAACAACACATACTTTTTATGATTTTGTTTTAAGATCTTTTTTTTTTCCAAATCAACGGGTTTTATTTATTTATTGAAACTTTGCAACAACCAAAAAAAACAATTCAGATCGAAAAACACCCTCTTAGAGTTCAGATCAACCACATAATTGTGATCATTATTTAAGATCACATCACCGGGTGATTCATCCACAGTAATCTAACAATGATCCTAATTAACTTGAAGTAATTAGAAGGTATGATATTTCTCTCTCTTTCTCTATGGCATTTTGGTTAGGAGCCCAAAGGGCCCCTCAAGGAGTAGGTCTCCTTGTCCTGGTTTCATGAGGCAAATTTCAAAAGAAAAAGCAGCCAACCATCCACAAAAGGCCCTCCTTTTGGCACCAAACAGCCAATATTAATTAGAGGAAATCACCAATACAAGACAAGTCACAAGACCGAATATTATTATAATATAATATCTTATATGTATTTCTAGTTTTTTATTATATATTTATTTATAATATATTATAAAAATAAAAAAATGAAAAAACAACAAATCAAGCCAATCAACTTCAATTTAATTTCAGTTACCGATTTTCCAAAAACCAGTATTACCAATTCAGTTTAAAAAATAGACCCTTAACCGAATCATGATCACCCCTGTCCTCACACCTCAAGGTGGAAAGACTAGGAGAGATCTAAGCCTTTAAAGTAATTAGTATCCTTAAAAGCATTTTTTTTTGTTATAAAAAAATGTTTTTCAATAACACTTATATTTCTTCCAAACCTCAATACAAATACAAATAAAATGTGTCTCTACACTTTTATTCATCAATACAAATACAAATGTGACTCCATGTCATACAATAATCATCCCAAAATTTTAGTCTAATTGAAACTTTAGAACTTCTTAAATGCAATGTGGAGTGCAGGACTGATGTAATGGGGTAAAGGCATTACTGGATGGAGGGCTCTCCATCCAATATAAATATATAATGGTTTCTCCAGGTCTAAATCACCTACAGTTCTAAGTTCTAAGACTAATAATAGGCCAACCACAATCTATCCAGTATAATGGTTTCTCTGGGTCGAAATCACCTACAGTTCTACGCCCAACGCTAGGCCAACCACAAGGTCCACAACATACCATGTCAGCTCTGTACAAGTGTGGCCCAATATCAAGCTGACGTGACATATCATGATTAATCCACTACCTTCATGGAGTCTGTATTGTATATGTGATGGATCGGTGAGATCTCTTAGCTAAATGATGCTTAGTTGCTTACAAATTAAAAATTAACCATTGCAAGAAAAAAGAAAAGATGCTTAGCAATTAGTCTCTCTCTTATATATATTCTCTCTTTGTTATCTCTAGCATGTGTATTATTATTATTATTATTATTATTATTATTATTATTATTATTATTATTGCAATAACACATATTAGAATTAAACATTTTAGGGCATAAACAAAATGATCCAATCGATCACCCATTGATTTATCTGATAATCCTAGAAATGGTAGTTACTCACCATCAAGTAGTTGCCATGTTAAAGGAAAAGATGAGGCCCTCCTCAGATGATTAGGACCCATAAATTTATAAGGGTAAATTGTTGAAACCTTTCTTGAAGTTTGGTAGTTGTAACTATTTCTCCTGAAATTTTTGACAAAATTGTAAGTAGACTCCTTCGATTAGAATCCTCTAACAAGAGGTGCAAAAATGTTCAAAATACCCATGGAGTTGTTATTGGGACTGGTTTTTCCAAAAATAAAATAAATAAATAAAACACAAACTTTATGAACACCAAAAAAGGAGAGTTTAAAGTTGCAGATTTACCTACAAGCAAGGTTTTACATAGGTCAATACGTATCGTTCCGAGACCCTTCCAATACGCCCCTACAGTGGGTGTATCGGGGGTCTGACCGGTTCAGGGGATGGAGGGGTCCTAGACCGGCTCCCCTGAACCAGTTTTGAAAAAAAAAAAACAAGTATCAAAACGCCCAATACGCCCCTATCAGCATATCGATATTTTGAACCTTGACTACAAGTGATTGATATGAAGGGCAAATTTGAAAAATAAACAATTGATAGGAATAAAAATTTGAAAAATAAACATTATGGCAAAAGTAACTACATGGGTATTTTGGACATTTTTGTATCTCTTGGAAGAGGATTCTAACAGAGAGGGTCTAATTGCAACTATTAAAAAGTTTAAGTGAGGTGATTGTAATTACCAAACTTTAATGAAGGTTTTGACAATAATTAAAAAATTCAAGAAAGATTTTAGCAATTTACCCAATTTATAAACAATAAGTGGCCTTTCTTTTGAATGGGTGATACATTTATAAACAGCAAGTTAGACTTATTTATTTAAGGGTTTTGAATTTTGGCCCCTGAAATCATGAAAAGCTAAATTGGGAAGTGATTTCTCCAAGCTTCAGTTTGGGCTACGTACTTGAATTGTTGTTTTAAGCTAGTAAAAAATAGCAGCCTAATTCGCTTCTAATACGATATGGTTAGCATTGCATTAAAAATTTCATTAAACTTCAAGATTTAGTTTCAATTTCGTCAATGAAGAGATAAGATGAAAGCAGTAGAGAAAATTAAGGAAATGGAATAGATTTTTGAACAAAACAATAAAAAATTAATAACATTTTCCCAAATTTTGAAATTTACTTCAAAATTTATTCATTGAAATTTCAATTTCTAGCCAGGTCGAAATAGGCATAGGGAAAGAAAAAATCCATGGGTGTGAGTAGCAAGTCACATCTCTCTTTTCCGTGCGGGGATCCCGGGCAAACAAAAACTCTGCACACCCTTTGAAAGTAGAACATCTAATCGCACATTAAGAACATCTGTCTATGAATTTGACATATATAAAGACTCTGCACACGCTTTGAAAGTAGGAGCATCCAACCGCACATTAAGAACACCTATCTATGAATTTCACGTATATAAAAACTCTTGTGCAAGCAGGAGCATCTAATCGCATATTGAGAACATCTCTCTATGAATTTCACGTATATAAATGGGAGGTATTACTGATGTATGACCAGAAGCCATGCTCCCCTTTTGCTTTTGCTTGCCACTATTGCATCGTTCAATGAATCGTGTTCTCTGCCAATAAAACCTTTTCCCTCTCTCACTATCATTCTCCCCTTTTGTTATTAAAGCATATTTGTGCCAATGGCTGCGTTTGAAAAATGGTTCATATAAATTATAAAGTTGGGTTAGTTTTGCACTAACAAATTTATCTTCTTACCAAACAGACTTTTTTAGTTGTAATGGATGCGAATATAAATTTCAATAAAGCATATATTTGTTTTTATTAAAAGCCTGCTTGAATGCAAATTTACTTATTTTTTATTGATGTACTTTTATATCTTATTATCAATGTAAATATGCATTGGTCTGTCATTTGTTAATGCATAAATGTAATGTTGTCAAATACAGACCAAATGAACCAGCAAAGTACAAATTTACCTTGAACCGGGATTTATACTCCATTGCAACGTTTCCAAACACAGCCTTGTGAAGTAAATGATTGACCCCACAAATTTCAAAATGACAACTAACTCTGAGATAATTTTAAGTGGACGAAATAAATAAAGGAATCCCAGGTCATTTTCTAAAATGTAAAGGTGGGGTGGGGAAGTGAAAATGAAAAAAGGGATTCTTATCTTCTGTTTTGTTATTTGTTAATTAATATATAAAAATCATATGATTCAACGAGCGCGCTCTCATTCAGTGAACCACATGAGCTCTCTATCGTATCAGTCACTCATTGGCTTGAGTAATCAAACAACCAATGGATGACGAACACGTAAGATGCATCTAAGCGAGAGCAGACCCATTGGAGCAGCTAACTCCAGAATCATGCAAGAGTCTCTTTTTGGTTTTTTTCTTTCCCTTTTTCGATTCCATCACTGAAACAGTGAAAGGATGATGATGCTCCATGGACTCTTTTTTCTTGGTTTTCGTACTCGATCCGAGCGAGGGTGCAATCTTGTGTTGCAAATTTGTAGCAGGGAACAGCTCGAACAGCTCTATCTCGTACGTGGTTGTGGATAGAAGACACAATTGGTGTCAGTGAAGGTTTGTCCTTCGCATCACCAACTACTGAAAAGCAGAAATAGTTCAATTTTATCTCTAAATTATGGACTTATGGAGGGAGGGGGAGGAGGGGAATTTGCAATTGTGCAAAGAAAAGGAAGATTAGTCACGCGGCTGTGTTTGTTAGGCTTCTCACGTGATCCACGAATCTACAGCTTGCCTTTTCAAATTTCAAGGATGGAGACAACACAAGCCTTTGCTTAGGTTGCTTTGTCTTCATTCTACATTTACTCTCTCCTCCATCACCTTACTCTACTCTGGTTGGGCAAGGAAATTGTTAGACTTTCAATGGAACCAAACTCTTCTGGTTCAATGTAGTTGAAATTCTTCAAATTAGACAACCTGACTTACAACCCTAGGTCCATCCGGTGCATGGATTATTAAGACACGGCAGAATAATGTATAGCTTCTCTACCATATACCACATATATCCCACCCTATGAATATCAAATTTACTACCAATAGGGTTGTTGTTTAGTCATGGCATTGAAACTAATTTTAATATTGGCTTGACCAATTCAAGCAATAAGCCTACCACACTGGTACTTCAGATGGAATTTTAGGGTTAGGTAAGATAGGAGGGGTACTAATGATTAAAATTTTGTGACTCCCCTCCGCCCTCAAAAATTTTATGAGTTTGTATGTTCGGGAAAGTGACAAGTGTAGGAATTTATTACAATTCAATAGGGGGTACTATAGCATAGGTGGGATTTGAAACAATACATTCAAAAAAAAATTAATAATAATAATAAATTTTGAGGGAGAGCAAATCATAAATGTTACTATATCTATACTACTATTAAAGTGCGAACGAGTTTATGTAACTTTTTTTTTTGTCTAAAATATACTTATTTTTGAATTTAGTTCCTTTTTAATTGTAAGGATAGAAAATAAAATTTGAATTACTACTTTTCACTCCATTCAACTCCTTCTCATTAAATCTTATATTTAAGGTATCAATCATTAATTCCTATTTTCTCTCATTAAATCTTGTATTTAAGATATTTTTCTCACTAATAAGTTTTATTTATTATACTTACATCCAATAGTTTTGACAATACAAAACTCATATTTATTTAAAACTGACTCAAAAATGAAACCATTATTCAATTCAGGTGGTAAATAATTTATCCAACCATCCTAATCAAATGGTCAACCCATAAGAGAAAAACACATACAAAAAAAATGCATACATTTTGTTGAAAAATGTTTTATAACATCTCTAATATTATATATTTTTTATATTAAACAAAAATAGGTATAATAAATAAGGATTATTTGTATACACATAATTATAAAAGTTTAGACACATATTATTTTAAAATTATCATGTACAAAACAGATACATATTTGCTAGCACTGATTCGAGAGTGGAGGTGTGAGATTGGCACGCAGAAATGCTAACTGATATGCCTCGTACCCACCCTGCATTGTCCCCACCATTCCTAACATGCACACTACAGATTTGGCATATAGCACCTTCCCCCCAATATAGGGGCAAAGCCACATTATAGAATAATATATAAAATCATTGCCTAACCAAAGAGCTATTGCTTTTTATTGGAGTTAATTATACATTGCAACTTACTTGTTATTATTATTATTTTTTTTAACACAAATAATAGCCCCAGGTAGTTTATAATGGGCTTGACCTCAGTAAGCACATAATAATATTAAGTCTCTTATTAACATGAATTGATAGACATAAAGAGAAATAATTGGGATAAAGTCCACTGTCTCCTTATATTGTATTAATATAATTCAGACTGTCGATGGATCGGATATTGGTCCAATCCAATCCAATCTGGTCTAGTATGAATCCATTACAGATGGATCGACTAGGTTCAATCCAATGCAATAAATATTTTAGACTATTTTGGACTGGTCCAGTTCAATGTCTAGACCATTCAACTTGTTGGAATTGATTTTAATTTGGATAGGGTCCAACCCAAATCTGATCCTTTGACACCCATACTCTTATCTGATGTCAATAGACCAGATATTGATTCAATCTGATCCACCTAGACAATATAAATCCATCTATTACAAATAGACCAGGTTCAATCCAATCCAATAAATATTTTAGACCATTTTGGATTGGTCCAGTTCAATGTCTAGACCATTCAACTTGTTGGAATTGATTTTAATTTGGATAGGGTGCAACCCAAATCTGATCCTTTGACACCCATACTCTTATCTTATGTCAATAGACCAGATATTGATTCAATCTGACCCACCTAGACAATATAAATCCATCTATTACAAATAGACCAGGTCCAATCCAATTCAATTGATACTTTGGACCATTATATTATATCTTATTGATTTTAATATATCATATTCAAATCAATTCAATTTGATTTTAATTTGACTAATCCAATCTAATATACCTTATTGATCCTTCCAAACCATTTGTCACCATATTTTGGATGAAAGGTTTAGAACAGCGGGATCCAAAACTCCAAATCTCTTCTATCCACAACAAACACTAAAGCCACACATCGGGATTGTCATTCACGGGGAGATGTTCCCGATGTGTGGCTGCAGTGACTTGTGGGTGGCAGATGCGGATTTGGAAGCCTGTGATATGAGATAAAGTTGGTCAATCTTAAGGTGGAAGGACATGGTCGTCATCCTCTTGCCTTGAAACCTAACCCTACTTGATTGCTTAGACCCCATTGCATTCATTATCCCTAATTTATTTTTTTGATTACACCTTTCTGTAAAGCAGACAAACATCGCACTGAGATTTCGGTTATAAATTTAGAAAACGAAGGCATCTCGATCAGTCACTAAAGCCGGCCAGAACCAAAAACAAAAACAAGCTTTAGTTTGTGAATAAATCCCCCCGCGCGCCCCCTCCCTCCTCTCACAGTGTTCATCACAAAACAAAGCACCATCGTCTCTCATAACACAGACAGAAGCAACAGCCAAGACGAAGAGAGAGAAGTAGGAGGTAGCTAGGTAGCGTTGATGGAGGCAAACCGCCAGAACAAACCAAACGGTCTCACCCTAGAAGAATTTGCAGAGCTGGTGTCCCACATTCGCACATATCACACGTTTGAGAGTTCATCTAGGACATGCACATCCTTGATAACACAACGGGTCGATGCTCCCCTGGGCATAGTCTGGCCTCTGGTGCGAAGCTTCAGCAACCCTCAGAGGTACAAGCACTTCGTCAAGAGTTGTAAAATGAGTAGTGGTGATGGAGGTGTCGGGAGTATAAGAGAAGTCACTGTTATCTCTGGCCTTCCGGCTTCAACAAGCACAGAAAGGCTAGAGATTTTGGACGAAGAGAAGCATATCCTGAGCTTCTGTGTCCTAGGAGGCGAGCATAGGCTCCATAACTATCGGTCCGTCACTTCGGTGAACGAGTTCAGCAAGGAAGGCAAGGTTTACACGATTGTCTTGGAGTCGTATATTGTGGACATACCGGAGGGAAACACCGATGAGGATACCAAGATGTTCGTCAACACTGTTGTGAGGTTGAACTTGCAGAAGCTTGCTGATGTTGCCATGGCTTCTCTGCAGGAACATGTTGGCCCTAGAGAGATAGATGATGGCCAGACGACAATGACAACAACCGACCACAACCATGATGATATATACTGCAACTAGTAGTACTGATGGGCTGATATATGGCTTTGTTTTTGTGTTCCATCTTCAATTCTCTGCAGCTAGCAACGCTTACCGGTTATTGTTTTACAAGGGGAAAAGCAACGTAGTAGGGCTTAATTTGCCAGTTCCATATATTGATTGGGCTTGGCCGTATACTCGGCTTTGGTGGGTGGGGTTTGTTATGAGCCATAATCATCAAAGCAGTCTTGAATTCCATTAATTAGAACGATCAAAACCAATGCTGTAACACAACTTAATATCATGTGTATTCTCAATGGGGGAGGGGGGCTTAAGCTTCATCCATTAATATTGGGGGAAAGAAATTAATTAATGGTTGAAATTCCATCTTATCATCCATCCATTAATGGATATGCACACTCAATTTGTCTCTTATGCATAGGTTTAGTGAACAACCCACATTTCCCTCTCTCTCTCTAGATCTCTCTCATATAGTCATATGTTATGTTTGAACTTTTAACGGGCAAATTAATAGCTTACTGATGATGATGTGTATGTGGGCATGCGCATTTCCCACATATACGCTATCTGTGTATGTTGCCTTGTCAAATATCTCACACTGGCTATTTTCTTTTTGAATTAATGTTGTCTTCTTTCCTCTCGTGTTTCCTTCAAGGAGTGATGAGAGATCTGTGAGGCTTAATTACATTGAATTCAGTTCATACTTCAAAGAAAGTCTATTATGAACATGAGTTAGGCAGGGAGAGATTAAAAGGCAGTCAACTAATAAAAGGGTTGATGGTAGGTGACCGATTTTGTGTACCAGGCCCTCTTTTTTGTGCCTTCAATTGTCAAACCCTTATCAGAACGGCAAGAACAAAGATAAGAAAACCTTGAGAGACATGTGAGCAACATTTCAGACTTGTGACCAACAAGCTTCATCTAAATTTCTCTCACTGTACTCAATAATTCAATCTGTGAGGTCAGACTTGACTCCTCAGGCACCAAGAAGCAATCGGGGCTGGTGATTGATCATCTTCTCACTGTCTTGTTCTCTCTGTTACTTCTGATCCAGTTTGCTAACAACTACAAACCCATTAATGCAATTCCAATCACATCTCAACTCTCAAGTGTAATGTAATCCCCATGTACAATGGAATCCACAATTAATAAACATAAGCTCTTAGAAGGAAATAGATCCCTCTCTCGATCACTTGTTCTGCCATGTTAGCTAGCTTCTCCGCCATAGGGTGAGAGGAACATGAATTCATCTGAAATATGTCTGTCTGGCAGCATCTGAGCATGAGTTTCTGTCTCTCGGTATGGGTCCATAAGGACCATAACTCCACCCTTTATGAATTTTGACTGAAGAAGGTTATGAAATTGCAACAGTAGTACTACGGGTAATTACTACTACCTTTATGTGTGGGTTGAGATACTAAGATACCGCTACCTTGGTTTCAATATTTAACATTGCATCTAGCAGCTGCAGTCTCTCCAGCATATAGGTCATTCAAAGATTTTCTCTGGTCTTCAACTTGGTAACACTAAATTTTGCTGGGATAAATTGCATATAGATACCCTATACTTTGGGGTAGTCTAGGGCCTGAACTTTCAAATGTGTCATTTTAGTACCTCAATTTCTAAAACTAGACATCCAAGTCTGCCTTTGATGAGGGGTAAAATTATGAAAATGTCTATGTACCTCAACTTTCAAAATGTCTTCCCCAAGCAAACGCCAAGAGATGGACCTGATGACTGTAAAATTTTCAACTGGTTTACATCTGAAGTTCAAAGGTAGAAAAAGATGAACATTGAAAAAAATAGAATCAGAATATGGGCCTTTCCATAATTTTATCCTTCACCATGGTGAAAGTTTAGCGAAATAGGACTTAGATTTATATTTCTGAAAGTTAAGGTACTAAGGTGGCACATTTGAAAATTCTTGTTCTAGACTACCCCCCAAAGTACTGGATATATACCTTACATTCTGTAAAGGTGTCAATGGACCGGTTTTGGATTGGACCTCATTCAGTCAAAATCATTTTGGACGGACCAACCAGACATATTGGATTGGGCCAATCCGGTTTAAAATATTTATTAGATTGGATTGGACCTGGTCCGTCTGTAATAAATCTATATTAGATTGGGTTGGATTAAACCAATATCTGGTCTATTGATATAAGATAAGAATATAAGTGTCAATGGACCGGGTTTGTGTTGAAGCCAATCTTAATCAAAACAAATTTGAACAGATTGGATGGTACAGACATTGAATTGGACTGATCCAAAATGCATGGTCCAAAATATTCATTGGATTGGATTGGACCTGGTCCATTTATAATGGACTCACATTGGACCGGAACTGCTTTAGGTACCAGTTTTTGGATCCAATTCGAACAGATGGCCCATTTCAATTTAAAAAATAAAAAATTATAAAAATTAATTAAAATTATAAAAATGGCCAAATAACCATCCATTGTTCGAATCAAATAGATAAATAATTTGATCACTTGGATCCATGGATTGCTAACCAAAATCAACGGATTTTGGCCAAGGACTGGATTAATTAAGGGTAAAATAGAACTGATTGCCCCATATGGACGTGTTGATGGCTAGTGATCTGGGTTAGCTTAGCCGGGTTCTCAAGGCCTAAACGCCCGGTGGTGTGAATTAAGTTGGAGATTAATTCCGAGTATGATGAAAGGAAAAGATGAGCTAAGGTTGTCAAATTTAGCTAGGCCTCGGTAGCCAATAAATGTATTCACTGCTAATGCTAACATATGTACATTTAATTGGGACAGGTTGAGAGAAGCTATGGAGATCCAATACCAATAGTCCTAGACAAGGCTCAATGGCTCATAGGTGGGGTTGGCTGGTGAGCAGAGCTCTACCTCTACATGTTTGGTTCATCATCACCCAGACAAGTTGCAGCCTCGGATCAAAGTCTTCACTCTCCAGTCTCCACCATGGAGCAACAGAAAGTTCTTTAAGTTATAACGTACGACTTGAAAATTGAATGGTTCGTATTATGATTATCAGTTCGAAGCGTTTATTCACACAGCGAGGCGTGGGACTGTTCATGGACAAGTAATCGGAACAGATTTTTCAAGAGTCTCCAACCAATTGGCCCCTTCTTTTGGAAAAACGATTTAAGCAATCACAATTTAATAATGTATATGACATTAAACAGAAAAGAATGACAAACAGATTTCTTGTGGTCGATCCTTGTAGTTAATTTGTATACAACTGATCGTATATCTCTGACTTGTTGTAGGAGAGACCTGACATCAAATCCATATAAACCCCATATGTACAGAACGCTGGTATATTATTCATTCGTGATTGGTTAATAGCTCATTATACACAGCTGTTAGAGCAGCAAATCCAGAGTTTTTGTTCACCCACCGTATGAATACAATATGATGTACAATGCAGTGTTTTGACCTCAGTATGGATATTATTCAAACATGTTATGCGCACAAAATTAATTTTTAAATGCAAGGTGTTTGTTGCAGGTGATTTGGTTTGGTGCTAACTTAGGCCGGCCTATGTGTAGACTGGATATATTCTTGATATGGATTTGACTAGTAATTGATTTGATTATTTCCTACATCAACTGGACCATCCGGAGTCCGGAGTTCTTTTCTGTAGTGCGGCAGGTGTATAAAACACCTGATACTGATAGAGTGGTGTTTGATCATTCTGCTAGACTTTCTCACCTCAATCTGTTTTGTGGCTGCTTACGCCCAGAATCCAATGGCCGAATGGAGTAACCATGTTAGGGGTGATGATTGCACTCCGGCCTAGAAATTCCAGGCTTGTGCCTGGGTTTTGTGTTCAAACCGGGTTCGGGCCCGGGCCCGGGTCCATACCAGGTCTATAAATTTTAGAATCGGGTTTGGGCTTAATACTTCAAGCCCGGCCTGGCCCACATATTTTTAAACTTACTCATTTTGTGTATAATGTATACATGTTATTTTACATTATATTACATATTTTATATATAAATATTATAACATGACAGTATAATTTATATTATATAATGTATAAAATAAGTTTATATGCATGTTATGTTATTTAATATAAAATATTATAGATATAATGTTTTATATATGAGTGACGTTGGTTCGGAATCAGGCTCGGTCCGGCCTGGCCGAGCCGGTATAGACATGGGCTAAGGCTTATGTTTCAGGCCGGAACCCGAGGCCAAACTGGGCCTGGGCCTAAGCTATAGCCCTTATCATAAGTGCAAAGCCTAGCCCGGGCCCGGCCCATGATCACCCCTAAACCATGTCTCTCTCATGCCCATGTACTTTGATAGTTTGATTTCAATGCGGATTTTAACTTTTAAGTCCGCACAAATGGGTCCAGTGAGACCTTGAACCCAGCTTTCCTACTCACACTAAACTGCAGTCACACATCTCACAATATTGCAATTGCAAGATGGTGATGTATGGTTGCAATTCAAGGCATATAGAGTGTTGGTAGAGAGTTGTGAGCAGAAAATCGGGAGAGGTGAGATCTCTTATTGGGTGGTTCTCTGTTAGGCTATATTTGATTTGAAGGAAAAAGTAGAGAAAAGAAGGGAAAAATAAAAAAATCTATATAAGGTTTGTAAAAGTTTCTCTACTTTTTTTCCTTTGCCTATTTTTTTCCTTCAAACCAAAATACGGCCTTAATGTTTGATGGTGCATACACTTCCAGGAAAGGTGGCATAGGCGATGGGAAATTTATCATAGCAAGAGTAGTTACCGATTCTCCCTCTACAATAAGTCAATAACTGAAGCTGGAAGTTCAAGCATGTTTGGAAGGCCTGCATTATTCAAACAAATTAAAATCCTGTTTGGTTCAAACAAATCAAAGGTGTCATGACCTGGTACGCTCCTACGGGGTTGTATTGGGTCAGACTACGGTTCAGAGGGTAGCTGGGGTTTAAACTGATCCTCTAAACTGTTTTTAAAAAAATAAATAAACCATAAAAAAGATACCGGATACAGGCCAATACATCCTGTGTCAATACTTTGAACCTTGTATAGATTATACGAAAGTGATTTATAGAAGGAACATCAAAGACCCCCCCGTACTATGGGGTCTATGACAAAGACCCCCCTATACTTTGTTTTGTGGCAAAGACCCCCTTGTATTATGACTGTGAGACAAAGACCCCCTTCCCTTAATTTTCCTTAAAGTGCGTTGCAAATTTTTTAATCTCCATACTACCCTGGAAGAAAAACACTGTTCATCTTCCCCAACCGATTTCTCTTCTTCCCCTTTCTCTCCTCATTCATTAACGCCCAAGCTGCTTTTAACAACATCAACCAAGTGGAATACTTGAAACTACAATTGCTTCACAGAAACCGTTTGTTTCCCCAGCACAAGTCTCTCTTTGGACTCTGACCATCTCTC